AATAGATACTTCCACCAGGCCCGGGATCTTGTCTAGTCCTAACTTCCTGTGTCGGGTACAAGAACCATTAGTACCCAAGAAAGTATTTGGTACCTTTCTCTGGCCATGAGCCCTGTCAGTTTTTCTACCACAGGAAACTGCCCAGCCTTTAGGTTCAAATAATAATATCTTTTCTGTTCTGAGAAAAGCAATCAGAGGTCCTGGCCTTGTTCCCGGTCCTTGTCTGTGTCTGGCCACCACTCCTAGCAAACCCAGGAGACCCTTCCTTGACTAACTCTGCTCTTCTGCCTGTCAATCACCAAGTGCTCCCAGGCCTCCACCATTACCCACCCAAAGCCTCCTGTGCCTCTGTTTTACCTTCCTGTCTCTACATACAGCAGCAATCATTTTAAATATTTTTCTGTTGACGTTTACTTAAGAATGAGGAGGAGTTGAGGTGGAGAAGTTAAACATTCTTCGTAAGCAGAGAAAAGCAGATAATTTAAAAAAAAAATTTTTTTTAAAAACACTGCCCAGAGGGCTTGCAGTATAAATTAGATACATAGAGAAAATGTAACAAGACGGGGCAGGCGCTCACTGGGAGACAGGTGGCAGCCAGGGATAACTGTCTTTGTTCTGGTCAAGCCAGCCTGTCACCTGCCACCTTCGAGGGAGCTCAGGGGAAGGCTCAAGGAAGAGATGAAAAGAGAGCACAGAAGTAGTAATGAATTACTTTAGACAATGAGTGGAAATGAAAGCACAGCTGAGAGAGGCCCAGACACTTTGCTTCTGGTTCCTTTCTTCCTTATATTCCTACAAGTGAGAAAGGAGAATACCAAAGAGCTTCCCCGCTCTCACAAGACGAAGAGAAAAAGGCAGGCATGAGGACCCAGCAGGGGTGTCCAGGATCTAACACACCGGCTTTGCTCGCTCTCTCTCTTACACTGTGTGTGTGTGTGTGTGTCTGTATTTACTGTTCCAATGTTAGTTTATTCTTCTAACATATGTTGCTGTGTGAAGCCTTGTGAGTGGGTAGCATCTTCCAGCGCCCCCCCCCCCGCCACCCCCACCCAACGCCATAACCCTACAGAATTCCCTTTTTGTACATTCCAGGGCTGGAGCCCAAAGGCATCTCCGTCCAACACATCTTGTCACATCAAAATAAAAGCAAAATTAAAGCCAAGACATGGTGGAACGCCTCATAAAGCTCTCCCAACAGCCAGTCCATGCTCAAATCTCCCAACATAAAATTGCTGCTGCTAAGACAACTCTCTTGATATGCATGCTGAATATGAAGGTCAAGAAGGGTGGATTTCAATTTTTTTCGCTGCAAGAAATTACATCAGTTCAAGTCGCGATACTGGAGGAGAGTGTCCTGAGAGAGGTTTATGAAAGTTGGCAAAGTCTGTCCAATGTGGGACTCGATCCTGGATTCACTGAGGACACAACAGGGGCCTGCGCTGAAGACCCACAACCCCCACCTCTCTCCTGTGAATGCCACACGTAAATGGCACCCCTCCTGCCCTGGATCAGCAGTTGTAAAATAGAGAAGAAACGTGGGAGGCTGTGAGTGCCCGAGTCCTGGGCCATGGGCCCACCTGCCCACTGTACTTGCATCCTCTCCTTAGAGAGCCACCCACACCTGCACTTCCGAATGGTGATTAGCCTCAATTACACGGCAGAACATGACAATGTTATGTGGAATTGAGTTTTTGTATTTCTCCCTCGCCTCGGTGATTTCAAAACTTGTTCAAGATGCATGTTTTAGAGCGAGTGAGTCAGAGAAAGAGAGAAGAGACTCACGAGGTTTGACAGTTCTGATGAAGGAGCAATTGAAACATCAGAGGCTGATTCTTCAGCAGCCATGGAAATAGCAGGACCCAGAGGGCAGCAAAAGCCGTTCTTAGAGAGAAGAGGCCCTCTCCCTGATTTGTAGGAAGGTGACAGCCTTCAGCCCCTTCCAAGCTCCTCCTATGATGTGGAGGGTGGGAGGTGGCAAGACAAGGGCAAAGAGAGCAGCCTCCCTGGAGGTTCCTGGGCCCAGGTTGGCAGCATCCAGAGCTGAGCCCAGGCGGGACACTAAACCCAAACCCTCCCTTCCTAAACTGTTTTCGGGGAATCGAGGCAGAGGCACCTTCAGCAGATGGTTCACACCCCTGCATCTCCCACTGTGAGTAGGGAAAATCTGGGACAAGCCCTGATGTGTGGAGTGAAAGCTGTCTTTCTGGATTTGCAAGTAGACTAATGAGGTTGAGTTTTACAGAAAACATGTTTCCAAACACAATAGCCACATGCCCAACTTCTCTTCAGAGGAGCTTTTTTTTAGAAGAGCTTTAAAAATATTTTCTTTATGGTACCTGAGACTAAATTCAGTCCCTGTGATGACTTGAAACTCCATTGACGTAGACCTTCTGAGACTGGATCCTCACCACAGCGATGCTGCCTGCTTCATGAGCTCCAGAGGAAACGCACGTGCAAACTGGGAGTGGAGACGGTGGGAAGCCTCCTGCAGCCACACTCATCCAGTTCCCGCTTTTAACATTGTCTGAGGGAAACTGCATGTTCTGAGAACCAAGTTCCTACTTGGCTTTGTCATAATTTTGGGCATGTCACAACTTTTCTAAATCTCAGTTTTCCTATTTATATAAGAAAGAATTGCGAAAGCCCATTTCCTTCCTAACCCAGAAACCACAGACACACCTGAGACACGTTTCATGGATCAGTAAGGCTGGGATTGCTTGAACATGAGTAAGGATGGAGTGAGGATTTAGCCCCGGGCTGTGCCACCTTCGTCCCCATGACTAGGAGAGAAAGCATTCCATTGGGGGACCCTTTGGAAGTCATATGGCCTTCCTAAATATCCCTGGGGTCTCAGGGACTTATCAGCGCCAAATCTTTAAAACTCACCCAAATCGATATGCTGTTGGCTGTGGGGCATCCGGAAGATGTGGGAACTACCTCAGCGTCTCCCATGAAGAAGCTTCCGTGGTCTGAAAACTAGGTCATGTTCTGAGGAAGTCCAGACCTTACTAACTTTCCACCTCAGACTGCAGCATATCAGGGCCATTATTTTAAGCACTTATTTGTGTGTCTTCATAATTTTTTTCTTTTCTTTTCTTTTTTTTTTTTGTGAGACAGTGTCTCACTCTGTCACCCAGGCTGGAGTACAGTGGGGCAATCTGAGCTCACTCAACCTTCGCCTCCCGGGTTCAAGCAATTCTCCTGCCTCAGCCTCCCAAGTAGCTGGGACTACAAGTGCACGCTGCCACCACCCGGCTAATTTGTTGTATTTTAGTAGAGACTGGTTTCACCTTGTTGCCCATAGCTGGTCTCGAACTCCTGAGCTCAGGCAATCCGCCCACCTCGGCCTCCCAAAGTGCTGGGATTAGAGGTGTGAGCCACCGAGCCCGGCCTAAATCTACTATCTTCTTAATGAGCTTTGGGCCGCAGTGCCTGTAGGCTACACTCTGGTGTCCTTTTTGCCCTTCAGAGAACATGAAGCCGATATTCCACATATACATCAGCCAGGTGGATGGGTTGGTTGGTTGGGCTGCAGGAAGTTTGGGGAGACTCCAGGTTACCTCCAGAAATTCCCAAAGGACTGTGTGAAGATAAGCGGTAGAGGACTATGAAGCTACATTTTAAAAGAGCCCAAGAAAGCAAGGTGTCCATCCCAACACAGTGTAAAAACGCGAGGATTTTTCCCCTTCAGGAGTCTAGCCAACAGCAGCAACAAAAAATGCTTCTGTGTTCTAGGTAGTAAGTAGCAAGTTCGCTGCCACTGGGGGTGTAAAAGCAGTGTCCACAAGCAGGGTGTCAAAAACCACATGCTCCTGTCCCAGAATGAAGGCCCTGCTTCTCAGAAGCCCATCTGTGCTTTTCCCCTTAGTTTTTCTCCCAGAAATATATCCATAAGTTAATCAGACTCCCCAGGTGCACTGGAGTCACCAGCCACCTTGGAGGACAGAGCTGGCCCACAGGCATGCTTTAGAACTACTTTGCATATGGAGGAAAAAATTCTCTTCCACTCCCAGACGGATGAGAAAATAATGAAAAGGAATAGAAATATCACCAAGAATTGACATCACATTCCATTTCAAAAGAATCCTCAAGTGCAGTAAACACTCCGTTACACATACATGACTTCATTCTTTAACAAGTTTTCCACCCAATTTGGCATCACAGGGTGACATCCTCTCATCCCTCTGCCCACAAATGCTTCACAAATGCTGCAGGGTGTCGCAGAGCCTGTCAATACTCTATGAGGATTCAGGAAACGCTTATGCATTTTAATATCAGCCAAAACAAGCACAATAGGCATAAACCCACCCTTTTCCTCCCCTGCCCACCCCCACTCTCTCTCTCTGTATGCCTCCTTCTCACATACACACAGATGCACACGGCCACACACACGTACACACAATTCCAAAGCCAATTCTTCACGATTTGGGGTTTTTTCCAGAGGTAGGGATTATCCACATTCCTGTTCCTCCAGGATCTTCACTGCGGCCCATTCTGTTACGCTGCTCAAAGAAGCAGCAGTCTTGACATCTCACCCTGTGGTTTTGTTAGAAACAGAAAAACAGCAGGGATTTCACAGGAACGGACCAGACTCTCAGCAGCACAAATCTGGGATGTGTTAGAGACGTGAAAACAGCTCCACATTTGCATGGCGCCTTCCCTTCTCCGAGCTCAGGATGAGCAAGAGACTTTTCAGTAGCAAGGCAGGGTCCCATCCAGCTCATCAGCCAGCCTCTGTGCCCAACCAACTCCCCCTGACCACAAAAGGCCTCCCTGGCCTTCTGCAGGCAGGTTGAACCCCATCCCTTCAGCATTCCTGACTCCGCAGTTCCAGGCCAAATTCCCAGTTGATAATCCAATCTCCATTTGTGCCCCCTCTCCACAAAATTTTATATGAGAAATGTGTTGCTCTTCATTTCCTGTCTCACCCTCTCCTCTGGTTTTTAAAGTTTGTCACTTCCCGCCCCCCCCCCCCCCGCCGGGAAGTAGATGTCCTTCAGTGCCCCACGGTGCCATGCCAAGTGGCTGCACGAACTCCAGTTGGTGCCCTGAACTGACAACACGGGCAGGGAGCTTCGGGATCTGTCCGATTCAGAATGGTCTCGCTGGTCAAGAGGTAATCTGCCGGATCCAGGCTCATTTTAACCTCTCCACTGGAGGCTCCTTGAGCAACCGGCCCCGCTCCCCAGTCCTATATTTCCTCCCTTCCCTTAGGAATCACATCTTCAGGTCTCTGATGTTTTGTGCTAAGGAAGGGACAGGCATCATTCCCCTTTTACTGAATTTGCTAATCACAAGCAGCAGGAGAGATGGAGATGTTACCCCCCCCATCACCATTTTTGAGAGATGAGTGCACACACACATAGCTTGGTTCCCTGCCCTTGGAAGGCAGGGTTCTTTATTGGTTTGAATTCCCAAAGGAAGTGGCTATTTCAAAACCAGCCTAGGGGATATGAAGATAGCTGACCATTCTTGCTGTCCAAAAAGAGAGTGAGATTATCCAGAAGGTGAGAGGCTGTCTGTGGTTGGTTTGAATACATTCTTTAAGTTTTGCATTGAAGCTGATTCTTTTCCCATACGATTTCCATAATGTTCCTCTTCTTTATTTATCTTTCCACGAAAAACGGTCCTCCTACACTCTGCTGTTTGGGTCTCTCAAGGCTTATTAAAATATCTTGAGAATAAAAAACATAGAACTCGCCCCACGCACATTATTAGTGCCCAGTAAGATGAAACCTAAGACAAAATTGTGAAGGTCAGATTTTCTCTGACGCTTAGCCCTACTCTCACCTCCACACTTTACTGTCTCTCTCCCCATCTCCGTGGCCTCCTGAGCCTTCCTGGCAGCCTTGAGTAAGCCGCAGTGGCACCGCCCACACCTTTCCTTTCTGAGCTATCCCTTATGCTCTAAGTTCACCTCACCCTAATGCTTAATCTTGAAAACTAATCCACATGCATGTGTTAATGGGTGATAATGGGAAATAATAAGAACAGTTTCTATGTGCATTGAATGAAATGCTTTTCAAAGCCTCTTCAACGCTTTTACATTAATTATTTTATTTAATAATGTTATTACCTTGGCCCATCAGTCAGAAGGGTAGTTAGGCTAAAATTTTCTTCTCCATTTTGTGGATGGGGAAACGGAATTCCTCGGAGTTTAATTGTATGGCTCAAAATCACACGAAGAGCCGAAGTTAGACCCTAGGTGTTCTGGAGCCTGGTTCCCACTCTGTGGCTGGACGGTCACTCTTTGCAGTTTCTGTGTCTTCTTTTGAAAGAGAGCAGCTGGAATAGGCAATGCCTTAATTGTCTCACAAACAGAAACATGCTGGAACCATTTGGGGTACTTGTTCACAGTGCACATTCACGGAGACCACCCCAGACCCACTAAATCAGAATCTCTGAGAGTGGCCCCGGCCCAGAAACCTGCAATTTAACGTATTTCTAGGATGATTCTCACATACGCTTATGTCTGAGAAGATTTTCCTTAAGTCAAAGAAAAGATTTCTAATGGTGAAATGTTAGACTGCAAAGAAAGAAAGACTAAACTACCTGAGAAACACAAACTGTCATGTTTAGTGCCATTCATACTTTCTGAGTGCCCACCTGCTACATATCTGCGCCTTCGCCTGGAGCCGCCGGGCTCTGCCTGAGTGTTGTTTCCACAACTCCTACCCTATACCAAGGCTGTTTCTATCCAACCCGCAGCCCCCACCAGCGATTTGGAAGAGGGGTCTTGCCCTCCGCTTCTGTTTTCTGTCCTCAGTCTCTATGTTCTATTTTGTTGGACGTTGTTAAACCACAAACCCAAAAAGGAGAAGAAAGTGCAAAAGGGTGTGAAGAAAACACCTTCTTCTTCCTTTCAGAACATTTTTCTCCCACCATCTTGCAAGAATAATATATTATTACCATGGACCAAATCCCCACTGTGGCTATGACCATGTACAATTCAGAAACATCTGGATAACTGATTCACTTTTTCTCTTTTCATTTGAATGTACAGCGTTGTGTACAACCAGCCTGTGTGTTCCCCCACGGGAAATGCCGAGGATATGAATCCATCCCTCATCTTTTAATTAAAGTTGCAAAAACATCAGGAGGGTCGCACCCTTGTAAACACTAAGAGCCTTTCCAGGAAACAGCTCTGCCTTTTGTGTTAACAGATGTCATGGGGCAGCTGGGTCGGAAAGTGTTGTTCTGAAATTCTCAATCTGCCTTGCAAGAGGTTTTTCGTTAGATGGTTCCCAGATAGCACCACACCCTTTTCTCTTTGCAACTTGCCCATCACTTCAGGTAGCTTTTCTGCTCCGACTTACCTGGAGGGTTTGTCACGTGGACCAGAAACCACCCAAAGGTCAGCTCCTGAGCTCTGTGATGGCCATCATGTGCCAACGGCTGGTTTCCTTGAAGTGGGCCACGTTTGCCTCCTGAAACTGAGAGTGAGCAGCTTTGTAATTATGTAATATTAGAGGCATCTTCCTGACTTCAAACATCTGGGCGGGAAGTGGAAAATGCTTTTCAAAGAATAAGATGCTTAGCGTCATGGTGACAAAGTTCTTGATACTGGACCGGCTTTTTTAAAAATCTGGTCCTTTTTAGGTTATTCGTTTCAATGCTTCTTTGAATGTTGTTTTGTTGACATTAGGCAGTCTTTCAGGCATGAACTCTTCTGCCCCAAGGAAAGGAAGCAAGGTCCTAGAAGGAAAGCACTGTGTGCCTTCACCCAGTTAGGGGACCGAGTCAGCAAGGAGAACTAAGAGGAAAAGAACACTTGACTGACGCAGCCAAGTGAAGAGCTGAAAGCACAGGAGAGAAGAGTCAGAGATCGTGGAATCCTGAACATAAGCAAGGCTGTGTTTGGCGATGGCCTAGCAGTCAGCCCCAGGATTCGGCCAACAACAGCTACAGAGAAACAGAAAAGTCAGTGAGCTGATTCCATCAAGGAACTGAGCTGGGGGTGCAGGGATGTATCCAGGTGGACGGCAACATCCCTGAGATGATCCCAGCATCTCGGCATATGCTTAAATCATGGAGCACAGCCACAGATTGTCCACTTGGAGTCACATGATAAATGCAGTGAGGCAGTAAATGGTGCAAATATGAGAGAGAATTGGCCTTCAAAGTGGGCTGTGCTCAGAAGCAGAGGAGATGCAAGGATTATCCCAGCCCAGCTCATCCTTTGGGCATGCACAGGGAGAGAAGTGGTGCCTCCCGGACTTCTTCACTCTCCTCCACATTAGTCCCAGAGCTGTCAATCCTTGTCCCTGTGTTACAGGATCCATCTCTGTTTGCTGCCTGCAGAAACATTCCAGGGCCCATAGCTCTGTTTAGTCAGCATACAGCAGGAGATAAGAGGGGCAGAATGAGAGTCCACCCAAGAAGAGCACTGTAGGAGGAGAGAGGCCTCCATGGGAATGGACTCTGAACTTTTGATGTCTTAGAGCCAAAGTTAAGCAGCAGAGGAGGAATCAGCTCAGAGAGAGAAACAGTGCTCAGACAAAAAGAAATCCTTGGATTCACATTGCTCTTGGAAATGGGTCTCCAAAAGCCAAGGCTGAGTGTAACATAACTGATACCTGACAAGTCGGTATCATTGGGAGTGGCAGAAAGAGCACTGGACTGAGAGTCTGGAAACTGAATTCTTGATCTGACCATCACAAACTTCTTATGTGACCCTAGGCAAATCAGCTAATGTCTTTGGGGCCTAGTTTCCTCATCTGTAAGAGAAAGGGGTTAGGTGGGCAATCTCTATGGTTTCCTTCAGCTCTGCCTTCCAGTCCCATCTGGTTCAGGGAGGAGGGAGGTGAGGGAAGTGCAGAGGCACTAGATGATGGGGTATTGCTGCCAAAATCACCCTTTCCCCCTCCCCTGTCCTGCTCTCTCGTTGACATGCCCTTTATTATCTTGTTGTTGTTGATGTAGTGTTTTTTCCCACAGAACTCTGTGGGATAGGACGGCAGAGCACAGACAGGGCAGATAGGAAAGGAGGGTGTGAGTGGGAAAGGGGAGAAAGGGCCTTTCCAGCATTTCCCAAGCCTCTGCTCTCCAGGCTGCAGGCTGAGCGAGTGTGCCTTCCAGACTGGGAATCTCAGAAGGCCAAGAACCCTCAGTCTCTCCCTCCCCCAAACCCTGCAGTCTTTCACCAATGCTCCCAGTTCCACACGAAGGCACTGGTCACTGTTCTCTGCCACATCCTGCTCTCCCCAGACTTCTTTGGGACTCTGGCTCCTTCCTATAAGGCCAAGAAGTGAATCTGGTAGGATCTGTAAAATACAGTATACTTGTGATATTAGAGAGTTTTTGCTACAGAACAAAAGATCTCAAATCAGTGATTTACAGCAACAACTAATTTATGTGCTTCGATTCTGGGTCGTTAAGGTGGTTTTGGTCTGAGATGACTTGGCTGTGGCTGCATGGTCTAAGATAGAGCTGTCCAACAGAAATGTAATACAGACCATGTATGTATTCAAAATTTTCAAGTAGCCACGTTTTTTAAAATTAAAGGAAATTAGTAAAGTTAATTTAAATAACATTTTAAAATTTGACCCAAGGTACTCAAAATATTAATTCAATATATAATTAACAGAAAAATTATTGATAAAATATTTGACATTTGTTTTATCATACAAGTTTTCAAAATCGAGTATGCATTTCATACACTATATACAGTACATCTGCATATGGACCACCCATGTTTTAAATGTTTAGTAGCCACCATATTGTGAGGTCTCAAATGACCTCACTCACATGTCTGAGGTCTCTCCGTTGGCATGACTGGCATGGCTGGGATAGCTGAAGCTTCTCATCATATAGCTTCTTATTCTGAGGTTTGTTCTCCCATCAATCTTTTGTCAGGCAGGTTTGTTCACATGATGGGGGAAGAACTCCCAGCAGCAGGATAGTCCCAATGCATCAGTCCTTTTTAAAACTCTGTTTCACGTTTGCTAAAGCTCCATTGGCAGAAGCAAGTCACATGGCCAAGCCCCAGCATCAGCGTGAGAGGGGTCTTCCTTAGGTTGCTGTTACCTGGAGGTAACAAAGAGAAGGTCATTTCTCCCAGTCCTCCACGGCAGACGGAAACATCCACCATCACCAATCTCTTTTCATCATAGAAAAGTTCAAAACAGAGAAAAACACAAAAAAGGAAAATTGAAATAATCTGCTACTCCATCTCCCAGAGATGACTGCTGTCAACTTTTGGTTATCTTTCCACTATATTTTCTGTACACGCAAACATAGGCATTTTACAAATTTGCAATCAAATTATACTATACTCATTATCTGCATTTAACAATATATCCTAATCCCCATGTTATTAAATATTCTTCTCAAACATGAATTTTAAGGTTATAACATTCTAATGTATAAATGTACCACAGTTGATCTAAATAACCCATTCTTGCTTAATGCTTTTTCTCACTTTTCACATTTCTAAGTAATAAGAAAATGAACAATACTAGTTGACTTATTTTCCATTCATTCACACCTATTTATGAAGAATGGATTCCCAGAAATATAATTTCTAGGTCAAAAAACATTGCATATTTCGTCGTGTCTGATGCATTTTTTCATCCAACAAATAGTTACTAATCAAGGCTGCAATAAGCAAAAAAGTAGTATATTATCCAGAGGGCTTGAAACTAATAAATGCTATGGGGGAAAGTAGGTAGGGAATGGGGGTGGGGAGGACCAAGTAGGGGGAGAACTACAAATGTAAATAGGAAGTAGCAGGATAGGCTTCCGCACATGACATTTGCTTAAAATATATTGTTCTTCAGGGTATGTAACATTAGGGAAGGGCAGGACTAGTAGGGTAAAGTGCTTAAAATGTGACCAAAAAGGCCAGAATCCAGCACATCTTTGTCATTGTTCTGCCATGAGTCATACCATTTGCCTTCACCTGTACATGCCTGTAAAGTTTCAACTAGACCCCAGGCTGTCAAGCCAAGGGTCCATGGGGAAGGGTTCCCCCCACATCGCTAGTCCCAGAGGTCCACACACAGTGGTACCCATATAACTTCTTATGACAAACATAGTGAGGGATATGTGGGGGCAATGGAGTCTTTGAGAATTTTTCCCACAGGCCAACTCTCAGTCTCCTAGGAGTAGACTCAGCTCTTTAGTCAAACGTTCCTTCTAATTGGCCAGAAATCCCCCAGCAGCTGCAATCAGTTCCTTTTTTTTTCTCAGAAAGCTCAAGCCACAAATACAGAACCTTTTCTACAATCATATCAAAGTGTTTGGAAACACTGAACATTGAGTATATGTTTGTTGAATACATGCGTGAAGATCAAATAAATGAGTGAATTATTTGAATTAATTAGAGAAACTCTTTTATTTAAGGAAGGTGAAGAAGGCTTCACTAGTCACACAGCAAGCCCTTGACAACATGGAGACAGTGACAGACAGATGATCGTGGTCCCTTGAAAAGAGACCTGAGGTCTAGTTGTAACTGTCACCAACTAGGTTTGTGTCCTTGATTGCAACATTAATCTCTGAAGTTGCCATCTTTTCATCTGGACATATAACACAGAACAGTGTATATCTCTACCTCTGAGGACTCGGTCATAGAAGACACTTATAAAAATCTCCCAGAAACTGTTCTTTGCTGCTGCCCACAAAAACATTCACACGATATGCCTATTATGTGCCATGCATTGTTCTAGGTATTGGGGAAAACTGTTCTGGACGTTGGAGATAAATAAGAAAGACCAGTCCAAATCCACATTCTACACGGGGAGGTACATATATAAGTGCATGGATACAACCAGGTATCTGTAAGTACTTTAAAGAAAAATTAGGGAAAGGGTGATGATGTCATAGAAAATAACTGAGTTTTATTTTAAGTTGGGTGATCAGGAAAGACTTCTCTGAGGAAGAGACATTTAAGATCTAATGCCAAGCAGAGCCAGGCATGCAACAATCAGAGGCAAAGAGAGTAACACCTGTCTGCAGGCAGGAATGGCATTGGCTTGGCACGTTCAAGAAACAGAGGGGATGCCAGAGTAGCTGGCGTGGTGGAGAATGTGAGACTGGTGTGGGATGAGGGTCAGATAAGGAAGTCATGTAGGAGTTATGATTTTAACCTAAAAGCCATTGAAGGGTCAAGCCACTGAAGAGTTTTGAGTAAGAAATTGCATGGTTATTTAATTTGTGTATGGAAAATGGAGATGGGATTGAAGGGAAGAGGAAAAATAGAAGAACCAGAGGATAGGCTACTACCGCTCTTCACAGTAATCTTGATAAGAAACAGAAAAAGGAGTAGAGCAGTAGTGGTAGAGAGGAAAGAAGTGCAATGATTTTGTTGTATTTTTTAGGATTTCTAATGGATGAGACTTTGGCTTGGGCTAGTGGGTGCATAGTGGGGAGATTTACAGAAATAGAGAAAACTATGGGAGTAGCTGACTTGGGGGTAAACCTCAAAAGATCTGTTTTGGCTTTGTCAAGTTGGAGAAGCATACTAGCCATCCAAGGGAGATGTTGAATAGACAGTTGGAGATTAGTCCAGAATTTCAGGTAGAGATCAGGTTTGCAAGGCACAGTTCTAAAATGGCAGGACATGGCTGTGACCCTGTGTAGTCACATATTAACTCCTCTCATTAAGTTGTCATTAAAAAATGGATAAGTGGTTTTAAGGACAGTAAGGAACCCTAACTCAGTTTCATAAAACCAGAATAATCTGCTATTTTCTGAGCAAGTTGCTTACCCTTCTCTGATCTTCATTTTGTCTGTGAAATGGAGTTAGTGCTCTTATTTACCAAGAAGGGTTCTCCTGAAGCTCAAAAGAGCCAAAATTTGCAAAAGTGCCTACATAGTGAGGTATCTCCAACACAATGTAGGCCTTGTTTTTTTTGTTTTTTTTTTTGAGACAAAGTCTCCCTCTGTCACCCAAACTGGAGTGCAGTGGTGCGATCTCAGCTCACTTCAACTTCCACCTCCAGGTTCAAGGCCTGCCTCAGCCTCCTAAGTAGCTAGGACTACAGGTGTGCGCCACCACGCCCAGCTAATTTTTGTATTTTTAGTACAGATGGGGTTTCATTGTGTTGGCCAGGCTGGTCTCGAACTCCTGACCTTGTGATCTGTCCACCTTGGCCTCCCAAAGTTCTGGGTAAGCCACTGCAGCCGGCTGGCCTTTTTCAATAAAAGGCCATCTATTCAATCTGAAAGGCCTTCTAGAAAATGCAAGGAATAATGCGGGGACCACCCTCAGCAGGAGTCTTCTCCACACCTCACAGACTTTTCCTCAACAGCCTTGGTAAAGGTGAGAAATCGTGGTGCAGAGCCTCATTTGAATCTGAAACCTGCTGCTTCGTGGGGAAAATGGTAAGAAACTTCTTGACAGCCATGCTATTTGTCAGTCCATAACGTATTTTCACAGATAGACGAGCCAAGTGAGCAACAGTAGAAATCATTCTACAAATACTATTATTGCTTCTGGATGAGTTTTTTGTTGTTGTTTTTTTAAGATTTTGTTTTATTTTTCTTTTTAAGAACGTGTCTGCAAGGAGCCTGTTTGGGGGGTTGGCTTGAGTCGTTTTCCTGGCTAAGATCCAGGGAGGTCCACAGCAAGGGTCTCTCAAGCTGCAGATAGTAATTTTGTGGGTTATTTGTTGCCACTTTTAAGTGCCTGAAAAACCTCTCATTCCCACATCTTCCTCATTCAAAAAGAAGCTGCTGGAGTCCTGACCACTAATAGTGAGTACAGATCCTCTGAAATCGAAGGGTCGAAGAGGCGAGGGGGAAGGGCTATTACTTCATTCCACGGTCATCCGTTCCCTTCTCATAACAGTGGCAATTCCAAACTGGACCCGCTCCAGGATCCTGGTGGGAAAATCTGTAGACGGACTACCGTAGCAAACAGCACCCCTGGGGAATGGTCTTATGTTTCTGTCATAAAGGGGCCATTTGCACTCAAGAGGTTTCCACAGAGGACACCATCCCAGCACGGTGTGTCATGAAGAGGGCACAGGGCCTGCAGTGAGCCACTGGGACCTCCCATGCAGGGGTGGAAGCAGGGGCCGGCAGGGATGGAGCAACCTGTAAACAGGAGACTGAATGAAGTGCCCAGCGGGCACCTCATTCCGGGTGGGTAAAAGGCCTTCACGTGTCACAGGACTGGTTCTGCCTGGAAGTACCAACCCCTGTTCTGAAGTTGACAAGAACACAATCACCTCTCTGGAGCTGATGTCTGAATGGAGAGAGCTTCCCTTGGAGCCTTTCAAAATAGTTCAAGTTAGGCTGGAAGGTGCATCTGGTTGTGGCAACAAGTCGGGTAATGAGGAACAGGCAGAAATCCAGGAACCAAATCAAAGCAGAGGGGAGCTGAGTCTCAGAGATGTGTATTCACCTGTGAGCTCCATTAAACCATGAATCCAGAGAGCAGATTGCATCTGGATTGCTGCCTCTAGGGAATCTTGGGCACATACATGAAGCTCAATACATATTTGTTGAATGACTGAATGAAGTTTCCTCAAAGAAACTCAGTGTCAGATGACAGATCTCTCCCTTTCATTTTACCCAACTTCTTGACATTCCCTGAGGCCAAAGAGGCTCTTCCAGGGCAACGCACATTATAGAAATGTAAGGTAAGGAATTCTGAGTGAGGAATTTCTTGTCCTTCCTGCATGTGATTGGGTCAGGACCTCTGTCATTCACAGGACTGGACAGGCAGTAAGACTGCATTTTTGACAGCATATTGGTAAAAGCAAGGGGAAATTGAGGAGGATCTGCTTTATCAGGATGCAGGTCAGATGACTCAGTTGTATACATGTGTCAGTAATTACGGATGCATAGTACCCTTACCACAAAAATCTTTACTAATAGATTATGGACACATGTCTTTCTAGTAAAACAAGCATGGGAACAATATACCAAACTTAGAAAAATTATTATCTCTGGGGAGGAGAGGAACTGGAAGATGCACTCAGAAGTTTTTGATTGAATCTGAAGCATTTTATCTGTGTACCTAATATTTATACTTTTGATAAATATATTTATACCTAGTAGGTACACAGATGCTTGATATA